CCCAACTTGTAAGCACATATGTACAACTTCGCCTATCCATCACCCAAAGTATGTCCAAAAATCATTACCTGGTCTCCAAAAATGCTACTCCACCATCCTCTAGAAATCAGGATTCACAAACTCAGGATCCACAAACTCAGTAATATGACTAGAGAAATCGACAGGGGCACCGTAGCTAATCGAGGTGGAGGCAGGCAAGATCGGCATGCCTACTAATCTGAAAGAGGATAGTCGACAACCAGTGAGCACAAACTCAGCAAGTAAAATGTTTAGCAATCTATACTGTATAAACCTATCAGTGCACATGCGAGGATAACTCCAAACATTAAATATATGAAATCATTTTTAAAATCAACTTGTCTGAGTACCTTCTTCAAAACCAAAGTAGTAAGTTGGCATAAAGGGAAGACCCTAGGACAAGTAAACTAGAAATGCAATTGAAACATGGAAATACGAATGATCACTTTTGATTCAATAACTCAGGTTGCAACATCCTCCGGGGAATCCAATTACGTTTCGGGCATCTCGCACCCACCACGGCATTGTGAGGATATCTAGGGACCCCTGTTACTCCCCAGGCATCCAGAGGAACCCAGTTACCCCTCCAGGCATCTCAACTTCGGGGCATTGTCGTCATGGGGGACCGACGGAATAGTCACACTTACAATGCCACACGTCTCAGCGTATACAGTGCATCAAAATGAGAAATGTCATTTGCAATTGCTAATGTAAAGAAAATATCTCATCAGCAAGCTCAGAGTTTGTACATTACATCTCGAAAAGACATCATATCAAGATTCCAACGTTTTCACATAGGAAATAGTGAATCATTGCAAAAAGGGTCAAACTGGGCAGCCTTGCGCCGTTTTTGAAATCTGATTTAAATAAATAGTATATGAACTCCAAAATTTTTTAATTTTGGATATGTCACAGAAGATACCTTGATAAACATTTTTCTTGAAGGACTAAAAGTCTAAATATTTTTTTAAATGCCTCATTTTTTAGCTCAAAGTCATACCAAAACTGGCCCACTGGAACAGAATGATTGAACTAAAAGAAATAATCATTTCGCAAACCAAACCTTTTAAAAACACTTCAAAATTTTTATAAGTTGTAGAAATGGATTTCTGTAAAAAATTTTGTGCAGGAAGTATGTCTAATTTCGAACTGGAAATTTTTATAAAAATTCGAGAAAACATAAAGGTCACTGTTTTTACTGTATTGAACAGATTTAATATGGTAAGAAATAGGGTCTTCGTGCAACCCATTTGAACTCAGAAAAATATGAATTTAAAGTATATTATACTCCAAGATGTTTTGAACTACTTTCATCGAGAAAGTTTCCCCAAATTCGACCCACAAAAAGCTCTATAAAAATGGAAAAAGGTAAAGGTCCTGCAGTACCGATTCTGGAAATCAAAGCAAAAGTTCAAGAAGCAACCCAAAAGTTGAACCCACAATTTTTTGTTCAAGAAACCCCCAAACCGGAAGATAACCTCCACATGCACCATCCATCTCCATCAAGATTCAGCAAAATAAGTTTAATTCACAACTTGAATCCACGAATAACGCATGCAATCACCATTCAAACCGAAAATTACACATGCAAGGCCGTGCCTACTCAAGTTCAAACCGAAAGATGCACATGCAAGGGCCACGCCGAGCAATAATGGATTTACACAGCATAGATTAGAAAACATTCACTTGCCTATTGATACTCGGATTTCCGCGAATCTTCGTGGATCGACCAGTGTTCTTGCGGGCGGGGGACGTGCGTCCGTGTGGTACGAACGTTGGCCGAACGAGTGAGTGTGAGTGGTGAGTGGCCGTGCGCGTGAGTGTTGCCCGAGATGAAGAAAACCGAAGGAAAGGAAGAAAGAAAGTTGCTGGTTCTCTGTGAGCGTTCGTGAGTGTGGGCGACCGAGTGTAATGTGGGGAAGGCAGCGGCATGAGCAGGTGGCAAGAAGGAAGGAGAAACGGTGGTCAGTGGGCTGCAAGGTGGCAAGAAGAAAGAAGAGGGAGTGGCAAGGTGGCTCAAGGGGAAAAGAAAACGGTTATGAGTGAGCATGGGGGAGCTAGGTGTCAAGTGGTGGCATGAATAGATGAAATGATGTGGCTGATGGTGGCATGTATGGTGATGTTGGTGTGGAGGTTGGAAAATGAAAAGGAAATGGCCAGCGGCAAAAAGTGGATAGGGATGATAGCGGTTGGTGTCCCGGCGGTGACGGCGAGGGGCGATTCGCGCGGTGGCTAGTGTGGAAGTGACGTGGTGACACAGTGGTGGAAATAGTGATGGCAACGGTGATGACGTAGTGATTTCCGAAGTTTCCGAAATTGACACTTCCCAACTTCCATCGACGAACGTTCTCGTTGCCACCATCCATTCGTTCACTTTGTTCGTTAAACGAACCGACGAAATTTTGGGATATTACAATAGGCTTGTTACATGACTCATAAATATATAGGTTCCTGAGAATTCACAAAACATTAACTAGACATACAAACATGAACATGCTCTGGAAAACAACACTACTATGAAGACTCCTCTTAATCCGTGCACTAGTCTTGGAAGCTGAACAGACATCGACATCGAACTTGTACATCAACAACCAGGTAGCGGATTGACAATCATTAAAATGAACAACTAGTTTAGTAAATCGAAAACCTCTTCACATAATCAGCAGCTTCCTTGAGATGAATTTGGTCTAATTATTAACAAAAGGAACAAAAGGATGCACTAGGAGGAGAGAAAAAATGGTTTTACGTCCACCCAAAAAACCCGGGAGCCCAACCCGGTCCGACCCGATGGCTTGGGCTATATTTAGTGTTGGTATCGGTTCAGTTCGGGTCAAGCACGCTTCCATTTTCTGTTCGGTTCAGGTATAATGGAAATCCAAACTGCTGACACCCCTAGACAACGGTGTGCGAGATTCGTAAAGGGCTACATGGCTCTTCAGCCACGATGTAGGGCTTTGAGTGATTGATTTAGTGAGCCCTCGGAGCACTAACAAAGACCCGGAAGCACCAGAGCAGACCTGATTTCACAAGCAGCCCGTAAGGTCCCTGGCTCGGGTTGAGCAGATTTCCAATCCGTCTTGTCTCGGATGGTTTCTGGACCAGTACGGACTCAAACAGCAACCAATCGGACACCGCGGTGACCCCCTTCGAGTCTAGTTTCTAATGGCATGCGGCTCATACATTGATTCAAACTTATAGTGTCCAACAGAGCCTTATTTTCGAGACAGTGTTAGACAACACAGTCCGAACTCTTCTGTTTTAATCCCTCCTTCCCTTCACTCATTCACTTTCCTTAGCCTAGAAATCCTTAGGATCTTTCCCTAACTGAGGCATCATTTGTTTGGACAGAGAACCGAACCAAATATAGCATCATAACACGACATTCTCTAATGGGATGAATATACAAATGATCTCTCAACTTTGACCAAATGTGTAACATCATCAATGAACTTTCAATTTGTTCAATATGGTCCTAAATTTTTGATAAATGTTCAATCTAGTCTTTAGACTATATAGAAATATCCAATGTTACCCTTCTAATTACTGGTTTGGCTTACAATCTGATAAGTTTGAATGGTGGACAAAAAAATAGCCTTACATGTGGATTATTTACGTAAGATATTTAACTCAAATCAAGATATAATAATTTACGTCATCAAATAACATGGATAATTATTTGTCCAAATTGTAAGAATTATTACTTGAATAATCCACGTGTAACGCTTTTTTGTCCACCATTCAAACATACCGGACTGAAAGCTAAATCAACAAATTTCGTTAATTTGAATCAATGGAAAGACAATATTGAACATTTTTTTTTATAGTTTTGGGACTAAATTAACTATGTACCAAAAATTCAGGGACCATATTAAATAAATTAAAAATTCAGGAACGACATCGAGCATTGAGCCAAAATTTAAGGACCATATTAAATAAATTAAAAATTCAGGGATGATATTACACATTGGGTCAAAGTTTAGAGACTATTTGTGTAACTTTTCATTCTTGAATCTATGACAGAGAAACAGCCGAGAGAGAGAGAGAGAGAGAGAGAGAGAGAGAGAGAGAGAGGCAGAGATATGGGCCAACCAGGTTTTACATGAAGGCCTCGGGCTAAACTTGGATTGGGCTAAGTCTATTTAAATTCGGCACAACAAAATTATTAATGGTTTTATGTGGGAGTCAAAATCTGTCATTGTCGGCGGATTCGATCCCTAAATTTCATTAAACATGAAAGTGACATTTGGAGCAAAAACTTACGTGTCAACAACTAGCTTGGACAAAACTATGTTACAGCAAATAAACATTACACTTTAAATCAAACTGTTCACAATGAACTGGAAAGCAGATTGACTGAAATCACATCGCCAACAACATGATTTTCACACGTGCATGATCATATCAAATGAAATCCAAACTCGCGCGTGTTGCGTGGATATGTTAAGAAGTCATGTTAGAAATTGTTACTCCCTTAACTTAGGATATGAAATACACAAAAGAACTTACGAGCTAACAAAACAGCCTTTTCTTCTAATGTCCTTTGAAGATGAAAAATAATTCTCGAATGAGTAGAAATAGAAAGAAACACGAGCCATATTCAGAAAAGTAGTGGTACCATGTTTTGCTGGTCTTTGTGAGTTGCAAGAGAGATTGGCACGAGAGCCAAACGTAAACTTTCACTTGGCCATTCATGCCAACATCTTTGGAGAGGGAGAATCTTTCCTAATATTCCATTAATGACACTAATTTTCTTCATCTACCCACAAAAATGGAAAAGAAAATTAAACAATCTAAAAAAACATCTGAGGACAAAAATGCATAGACCTATTCCTAAGGGACAACCTTAAAATAATATCCACAAATATATCCACAACGATTTCTTTTTGCCTCCATATTTAGTCGAATGCGGTTTTCTTGAATGGTTTTCTTCCTCTATAAAATGCGATGAGCAATCCAAACCCTATCATCTCAAAGGACGTGAAGCTCTCCCTCACTCACTCTTGCCCTTTTGGCTCTTTGATAAATCCAATTTTCTTCATCTCTTGCATTTTCCCTCTCCTCCATTTATGCCAATTTATCTTGCGCCCTTCCATTCATTGATTTTTGAGGAGTTCCTTTTCAAGGAGAGGTCGAAATGCCAGCTGTTGTAGTAACTAATCACGGCGGCGATGTCCCGGACTTTGAAGGCAAGATCACGATCTACGTGATCATCTGCGTGTTCATCGCCGCCTTTGGCGGGCTTATGTTCGGTTATGACATTGGAATTTCAGGTTTAACTCTCTTTTTGTTTTTTGATCTTTTCATTTGACCTCATTGTTCTTGTCTAGAAATAGATTTTAATTGGCGGTCTGAAAAATTGTTCACAAGGATTTGGTCATGTACCAGACATAAAGTGCACTTGATTTTACCGTTGACCCTCTAAAAGAATTATTCTTAAGTTCTATAAATGTCTCGTTTAGTTGGTAAACTAGTCCTATATTGCCTACAAATTACAAAGAAATAACCATATAACTGTAATCTTTTCGGGGGGGAAAGTTTATCGGGTGATTTTCGGAATATAACTTCTAATAATTTAAAATTTCATTATAATTTAAAATTATTTTTATAAAATGATAAATCACATTCGTCTTTCGTCACTGATTCTTTTTGCTATTTTTGCGGACACACGTGAGAATGTGTGCATTTTTTGCTAGTATCTTATAAGAAATGCTTTTATTATATAAAAAGGGCGAAGATTGAAACATCATATAATGTAATATACTTAGACAAAATGTTTAATCTAACCTCTTTTAGTTAATTTTAATCAAACACAGGAGGTGTTACATCCATGGATGACTTCCTGAAGAAGTTCTTCATGAACGTCTACGAGAAGAAGAAGCATGTTCACGAGAACAACTACTGCAAATACAACGACGCGCTTCTGCAGCTGTTCACGTCGTCACTCTACATCGCCGCCCTCTTGGCCAGCTTTGTCGCCTCAAGGTTGTGCACGAAGATGGGCCGAAAGCCAACAATGCAGATCGCATCCATCTTCTTCATGGTTGGGGTCGGGCTTCAGGCCGGCGGCATCAACATTGTGATGATTGTGTGCGGACGGATCATGCTCGGCATCGGCGTCGGTTTTGCCAATCAGGTATATTCTGTGCAGCAGTTACAAACCATTTGGCGGTGACACATAATGCTCTTGTTAGCCTTCACATATGGTTTCTAACATTTACCTTTGCTGACTATGTATGTTTCCAATTCTTTGCAGGCAGTGCCTCTATTTCTATCAGAACTAGCACCAGCCAAGATGAGAGGAGCGCTCAACATATGCTTCCAGCTCTTCATCACCATCGGGATCTTGGCCGCTGGCATCATCAACTACTTCACCTCCAAAGTCCACCCCCACGGGTGGCGCATCTCCCTTGGCCTCGCCATTGTTCCCGCCGTCATCCTCCTCATTGGATCCTTTGCCATCTGCGAGACCCCGACGAGCCTCATCGAGCGCAAGAATCTTGACGAGGGCAAGGCCACCCTCAAGAAGATCCGGGGCACCGAGGATGTCATCCCCGAGTTCGAGTCCATCGTGGCCGCGAGCGAGATGGCCCGACAGGTCAAGAACCCCTTCAGCAAGCTCATGAAGCCCTCGAGCCGCCCCCCGCTCATCATCGCAATCCTGCTCCAGGTGTTCCAGCAGTTCACCGGGATCAACGCCATCATGTTCTACGCGCCCGTCCTCTTCCAGACTGTCGGTTTTGGCAGCAACGCGTCGCTGCTCTCAACAGTCATCACGGGTCTCGTCAACGTCTTCAGCACCCTGGTCTCCATCTACACGGTCGACTGGGCGGGAAGGAGGATCTTGCTCCTCGAAGCTTGTGTTCAGATGTTCCTCACTCAGGTGAAAGAAAAACTACAGGAGATTTGCTTTAGTATTATGTTCATTCGATTCTTCCCATGATATCACAGCTGACGGTGCCATTGTGCTGTGATGCTGCAGACTGTGGTTGGCTTGATCCTTCTGATAGACCTGAAGACCACAGGCTCATTGAACCACGTGGAAGCCGTAATTGTGGTCGTCCTGGTGTGCATATTCGTGATGGGATTCGCGTGGTCGTGGGGCCCGCTGGGGTGGCTCATCCCGAGCGAGACATTCCCACTCGAGACCCGGACCGCCGGGTTCGCGTTCGCCGTCAGCTCCAACATGCTCTTCACCTTCATCATCGCGCAAGCCTTCCTGTCGATGCTGTGCCACATGAGGGCTGGGATCTTCTTCTTCTTCGCAGCGTGGATCTTGGTCATGGGGCTATTCACGCTCTTCTTCGTGCCGGAAACGAAGGGCGTCCCCATCGACTCGATGGTCGAGAAGGTATGGAAGCAACACTGGTTTTGGAAACGGTACATGGTCGATGCGGACGACGAAGAAATCAAGGAGCAAGTGCATCCGCATGTGAAGTAAGCTGAACACGAGGATTCACACGAGGATGGGACGGGACGGGACGAGAGGCGAAGTCGTGCACGTCCGACCGCATGTAAAAAAAACTGAACGTACATAGTTGTAGAGCTAAAGCTAACCCGTTTCGACATGTTTAATTTAATGCATTTTCTTTCAGACGAAAAAAAAGATTAGTATAGCTATACAGAAGTGAGGTTTGTCTCAATTTTTGTACATGTCCAGATTATCCAAATATTAAAAATAATTGAACAACCGCTCACTTCCGTGATTTACTAGATTTCTTTCTTTCTCATAACGCGCATGCCAAAACACTAGTATTAATCTATTCAAACAGGACGGACACTCCTAAATTTCGAAATTCACATGAAGGCCTTCTTATTACCCATCTTGGGCTATGATGAACAAAGGGCTTTTAGTCTGCTAAAAAGAAGATAACCGTGTGATTGCTTGTACAATGTAAATGTTGGAAAGTGATCCATTTTCCAGAACATCCCACTAAAGTATAGCTGTGTCTCTTGCATGAAGTAAGTGAGATGAGTGGCTAAAAATTACTTAGGAAGTAGTTGAAATGTGTAACAAAAAGGAAGAGTCGACGTTGGAGTTGTCTAGAGATTGGGTAAAAGTCAAAGTGTGTATGAGTTAAAGAGAAGACCGTAGCTCACCTCCTTACCTCTTGAACAAAAGAGAGAGAGACGGCGGTGAAAATCAGCCTATAAATAGGCGTGTAGTGCTCCCGTAAGTGAAGCAGAAAAAACCAGTCAAAAAGACGAGTGGGGTAGCATGTACTAAAGTGGAAAACCTCTAGCTCCCTCACCATTCCAACCAACTACATCATGTATACTCCTCTAAATAAAAACTATGAAACCGCATTTCCATATTCCATAGCATACTAATCGTTAAATACTCAACTGTATTCCTTGCCCCTAGTTCATTCCTCTACATTAACTATACCATACACATATACACTTGCACACATTCAAACCACAAATCATCATCGACATCAAAACCATGCTTCTGTGTTCTACAGTAAAACACCGACCAGATGTCACTAAACTAGTTACTTAACCGGCGATCTATGAGTCATATTCAGAAAGTAATACGAGGACAAAAACTGAAAAAAAAGGAAAAAAGGACTTATGCCATGTTTTGCTGGTCTTTGTGAGCTGTAGAAGATATTGGGACAAAGAGTCAAACGTTCTTAACTTGGTCATTCATGCCAACCTCTTTGGAGTGGGAAAATCTTTCGCACTATTTATTAATCCCACTAATTTTCCTTATCTATCCAAAAAAAGGAAAAGAAAATTACAGTACTGAAAAAACATCTGAGGACATAAATGCATAGACATTCCTATTCCTAAGGGACAACCTTTATGTCCACAAGTATATCAATAAGAATTTCTTGCTGCCTCCATATTTAGTTAAATACAGTTTTCTTGAATGGTTTCTTCCCCTGTCTAATGGGATGAGCAATCAAAAACCTATCATCTCAAAGGACGCGAAACTCTCTCTCGCTCTTGCTCTTCTGCTCTTTGATAACTCCATTTTTCTTCATCTCTTGCATTTTTCCTCTCCTCCATTTATGCCAATTTGTCTTGCACCCTTTCATTCATTGATTTTTGAGGAGTTCCTTTCCAAGGAGAGGTCAAAATGCCGGCTTTTGTAATAAATAATCACGGTGGCGATACTCCTGACTTTGATGGCGAGATCACGTTCTACGTGATCGTCTGCGTGTTCCTCACCGCCTTCGGAGGGCTTATGTTTGGTTATGACCTGGGAATTTCAGGTTTAACTTACTACTTCTTGAACTTTTCGTTTGAATTTTTGTTCTGCTCTAGAAAAGGATTTTCATTGGTGGTCTAAAAATTGTTCAAAAGGATTTAGTCATGTAACAGACATAAAGTGCACCTGGTGCCAAAACTAGTCAATTTGGTGCACCTGGTAAACTAGTCCTATGTTGCCTGCAAAGAAATAACCACATAACTGTAATCTTTTCGGGAAAAAATGATTTTCAGATATAACTTCTTATGAGATAAAGTTTCATTATAGTTTAAAATTATTTGTGAAAATTTGATAAATCACATTCGTCTTTCTTGACTGATTCTTTTTTGCCATTTTTGCGGACTCACATGAGCGTGCATTTTTTGCTAGTATCTTATAAGAAATGCTTTTATTATATGAAAAAGGCGAAGATTAAAACATCATAGATGGTAATATACTTAAACAAAATGTTTAATTTAACCTCTTTTGTTTAATTTTAATTAAACACAGGAGGTGTCACAGCCATGGATGACTTCCTGAAGGAGTTCTTCAAGGAAGTGTACGAGAAGAAGCAGCATGTGCACGAGAACAACTACTGCAAATATGACAACCATGTTCTGCAGCTCTTCACGTCGTCACTCTACATTGCCGCTCTCTTGGCCAGCTTCGTCGCCTCTAAGGTGTGCACGCAGATGGGCCGAAAGCCGACAATGCAGATCGCATCGCTCTTCTTTATCATCGGGGTCGGGCTTCAGGCTGGCAGCGTCAGCATCGAGATGATTGTTTGCGGACGCATCACGCTCGGCATCGGCGTCGGTTTTGCCAATCAGGTATATTCTGTGTAGCAGTGACAAACCATTTGGTGGGGACACATGCAAAAAATTCTAGCCAATCAAAGCTAGAGAACTTCTAAAATTTCCTGACGTATAGTCAGTTGAGATTTATCTGGCAAGTACATTATGAGCAAAAAGAGCATAAATTACCAATTAAAAACAAATTTGTGTAAAGCAACATTAATGCTCTTGTTAGCCTTGACATGTAGTTTCTATGATTCATTTTTGCTAACTATGTATGTTTCCAATTCTTTACAGGCAGTGCCTCTATTTCTATCAGAACTAGCACCAGCCAAGATGAGAGGAGCGCTCAACATATGCTTCCAGCTCTTCATCACCATTGGGATCTTTGTCGCCGGCATTATCAACTACTTCACATCTGACATCCACCCTCACGGGTGGCGCATCTCCCTCAGCCTTGCCATGGTCCCAGCCGTCATCCTCCTCTGTGGGTCCCTCACCATCTGCGAGACCCCAACGAGCCTCATTGAGCGCAGGAATTTCATCAAGGGCAAGGCCACCCTCAAGAAGATCCGGGGCACGGACAATGTCACTGCCGAGTTTGAGTCCATTGTGAATGCGAGCGAGACAGCCCGCCAGATCAAGAACCCCTTCAGCACGCTGCTGAAGCCCTCGAGCCGCCCCCCACTCATCATCGCAATCCTGCTCCAGGTGTTCCAGCAGTTCACCGGGATCAATGCCATCATGTTCTATGCACCCGTCTTCTTCCAGACGGTTGGGTTTGGCAACAACGCATCTCTGCTCTCGACCGTCATCACAGGTCTTGTCAACGTGTTCAGCACGCTGGTCTCGATCTACATGGTCGACCGGGTGGGAAGGAGGATCTTGCTCCTCGAAGCTTGTGTTCAGATGTTTCTCACTCAGGTGAAGAAGAATCTACAGGAGATTTATTTTAGTCCTATGTTCATTTGAATCTTCCCATGATGTCACAATTTGGCATTGTGCTGTGATGCTGCAGACTGTGATTGGCTTGATCCTTCTGACAGACCTGAAGCCCACAGGCTCATGGAACCACGCGGAAGCCCTAATTGTGGTCATCCTGGTGTGCGTATTCGTGATGGGATTCGCGTGGTCATGGGGTCCGCTGGGGTGGCTCATCCCGAGCGAGATATTCCCCCTCGAGATCCGGACTACCGGCTTTGCGTTCGCCGTCAGTTCCAACATGCTCTTCACCTTCATCATCGCGCAAGCCTTCTTGTCGATGTTGTGCCACATGAGGGCTGGGATCTTCTTTTTCTTCGCGGTGTGGATCTTGGTCATGGGGCTGCTCACCCACTTCTTCTTGCCCGAAACGAAAGGCGTCCCCATTGACGCGATGGTCGAGAAGGTATGGAAACAACACTGGTTTTGGAAGCGGTACATGGTCGATGTGGACGACGAAGTAATCAAGGAGCAAGTGCATCCGCATGTGAAGTATGTGAAATATGGGTTTTGACCAGGTAAAAATAAATGAAAGAAATGGGACTCTTATTATAAGAAGGAAGAAAGGGAACAGAAAAGAGAGAGAGAGAGAGAGGGAGAGAACCGCTCGAGAAGAAGAAGAAGAAGAAGATGAGGGACTACACGTTCTTGTCACGACCCCCTCGCCAAGCCGATTCAACTCCAAATTGCCACGCTGCCTAAGGATTTATGCCATTTGTTCGTTTAATCGTAGTAATTTTTTGAATTATGGCTCAAATTCGGAATTAGGTGAAATTTGAGTTGCAAGTTCCAATTTAGGAGTTGTTAAGCTGAAAAATTATGAGAGAATTATAGTTTAAGGTGTTGTAAAGTTATACCATTTTACAGAATTCGGTTTGGACTTACGGTTTGTCCGAAACGAATTTTTGAGGTTGGATGCGCGTGCTGTACAGTAATGACCTGCAGCTTTTGGGGCTGAGTTTAGTTGGTTTTCGGCTCGATTTTGGATTAGTCAAGTTATGGGTTCTCTTATACTTTGAAATATCTTTCTTTTGACTATAAGCTCTCTTGAAATGAAGTTCGGTGGAGAGAGATATTGCACAAGGAAGTTTGTCACGCGAATGGTTGCTCTTCACATTAATGGCCTTCCATCGTGGCTAGCCATTCTTGAGGTCTTTTGTCTATCCATAGTGAGCGTGTTAGCTATGAAATAGGTTAGTTTAGTTGAGTTATTAGTTTAAGTAGTATTTTTCTTAGTTTTGACGTCGATTATCGTTTAATTGATAGGATTATGAGATTATCGGTGCATATAGCTACGTTGCTTGATCGTAGGCCTTCCTAGGTAAGTAATGTTATCTCTTAAATGAATTTCTAAACTCATGTCTTAAAAGTAATAAATATTTAAGTATTATACGAGTTATTAAAGCATGTTTATTACATAAAATCTTGATCAGGAAATTACTACCTTTTAGTATTTGAGAATGGTTTTACAAAAGGTGTTGTAAAATGATATATATAGACACACACACACACACACATATGTATGTATTGTTTTGCGAACTGGTTTGTGAAATGATTTTTGAAATGTTATGAGAAATGCTTTACGAAAAGTATTTCTAGAGAATGTATAAGATTGATTATGGGTTGGAATTCTAGTATTGGAGAATGATGGTTTGATGCTTAATATCACTATGAACCCAAGTAGGGGTTTGTGAGTATGCATCTTGATTTCAGGATATACTTTTCACTAAGCCACCGTCTAATAACAGGTGCAGACCTTGCCAATGGTTCAATCTTTGTTGTTTTGTCACTAGGCTTTGTGTCGTGATCATAGTATGATATCAAACAATAATTGGTCAATGGAATGGACTATTGACGTTGTTATGAGTGAGACTAATTAATGGACTTGATCATTGATGTTTGAATTGAGATGATGGATTAAACGAGTATTTCTAAATTGTGTAAAGTTTGTTGAAATAAAACAACTCATATATGATTTGATATGTATACTAAAGAGTTGGATTATGAATTTATAGTGTTGCTCTATACATACAAACATATATATGCATAATAGCTGCTTGATCTGCTTAAAAGAGATTTACTACTTATTGAGTTGTGGTTTTTCATACCACTCATCTTTCATATGTTTCAGGTTTCGCGGTTAGCGGCAAGTAGGGAGAGAGTACTATCAACGGAGAACTTATGGTAGTAGGATTTTGGGTATGAGCTTAGCTAGTTATATGATTTATGAGTTGATACACATTGAGTTTAGCTGAGCTATGAGATGTAAGTATTCTTGATGATGCATTTTAGAAATTTCAATGTTGAAAAGAGCTTGCTGGCTTATCATATATATAGATGGAAACATACATATATATATAAATATATAATAATAATAATAATAATAATAATAATAATAATAATAATAATAAGTTGTTGGTTTTTGTTTGAGGTTGCATCCTCAGAATGGAAGGACGGTCGTGTCACCCCATTCTTGATAGATTCAGGGTGTGACAAAGTAAACTGCACGTGAGGATTCACATGAGGGTGGGATGGGATGAGAGGCAAAGTTATACGCATTCGACCATATGCAAAAACTGTACGTACATAGTTGTTGACTAAAAGCTAACTCGTGTTTTATTTAATGCATTTTCTTTCGGATGAAAAAGGATCCCTGTAGCAATACAAAAGTGAGGTTTGTGACGAACACTCCAATTTTTTGAAATTCACAAGAAGGCCTTCTTATAACCCATCTTGGGCCATGACGAACAAAGGACTGCTAGCATATTGAAAAGAAGATAATCTTGTGGTGCTTATACAATGTGAAACACCAACTAGATGTCACTAAACTAGTTACTTAACCCAAGCATTACGCTTGCCTCCTAATATGCATATTTTTGAATCAGTAATCCATTACTATGATAAGTCGTGTACGAGAAAAATATGACATTTTTATAGCGATAATGTATTATAATTTTAAAGGAGACTATCATATTGATGCTATAATGTTAAGTTTTCTAAGCACATAAAATATGAACAAAAAATGATTTTCCAGTGTATAATAATCAAAGCTATATCTATAATAATTCTGTTCATAAGGTGAAAAATAAAAATAAGTAAAATGTAAATGATGTATGTTTTAGATAAATTGCAATTTAATGTTTTCTGTTTAAAGATTTTGTCGCGAGTTTGAAGATTTTAGATAATACCAATGCTTTTCTAATAATAAATTAACCGGAGTCAATTATTCCGTTTAATATCATTATATTTAAAAGGAAATTTTAATAAATCTGTCATCAATTAAATAACATATTTAAAATTCTTTTATTACTCAAATTATGTGAAGTTATTTGCTCAGTGTATTTTTTATTACACAAATCAAATTTCTCAGATAAAATCATTTAAGCTTTAATTAGCAATAATATATTTTTTAGTAACATGTCTATTTATATGGATTTGAATGTTTTATTTTTTTGTAGGTTAACTTTGTCTGTCACTAATTTGATTTAAGATATAAATCAATTGAAATTTGTTCATGTGATTAAATTATCTATACTAAAACTCACGATTTTTTTATAAGGTTATTAATAGAGATAGATGAAAAAGAAATATGCTATATTTGACATCCTAAATTCAATACTTTTAAATGACTGAAATTTGTGTCTTTTATGTGAGATGACATATGTTATAGTTTCAAATTATAAATATTATATTTGTGAAATGCGACATAATATTTCAAAGGGGTACCTGCACCAAAAACTCTCAAACTTGTCTACAAAAATTTCAATCGGATCTTAAAAATTTCAAATAGTGCAATCAAATCCCAAAAGTTATTAAATTTGTGTAATAAAGTCCCTCCATGAACTATGTTTGAGTTGGTTAACGAAAAACGTTGACATGAACTTTTTTTTCTTAAGATATATGGCACTTATTTAACACCCACCAATCGTCACATTAGAAAAAAAAACTTGAACATTTAAAATGAAAAAAAGAAGAAGTATTAAAAAATTGAAAAAAAAGGGATAAGAATTAAAGAAATAAAAAAAAGCTAAAAATCTAAAACCACCCCTAGGAGGCTCAGCCACCTGGGCCATCGGCACTTCCGCAGTGGTGTCACTACTAGCGTTGATTAGGCTCACCACCACCAACCGCCCTAGATCCGACTCACACCAGTCACAATGGCTTCACCACCGACTCCTTTGCCTTGCCAATAGCAACCACACTCAACCGCCACGGTTCGCCTCACTGCTCTCTCAACCACGGGCATTCGCCACCACCAAACCAGGAGCACAACTTACCTCTACCAACATCTGTAATGGTGCCTTTGACTGGGTCAAAAAGGGGGGGACGCCTGGAAAGGAAAAGGTTGAAGAGTCAAAGAAAGAAGGAAAAGTGCTCAGCTCTTATAAAGGGAAAAGTACGCGACCAGAGAGAGAAATAGACGGGGGAAAGGAAAGAATATAAAGAAGAAGAGGAAAGACCGGGAAAGAAAGAGAAAAAGAGAGAAAATTGCACAGGTACGCCACGGAGAGTTCGTCAAGCCGAATTTATTTCGATTCGCAAATCCTGACAAGTGTTCACGCCTTACGCTCTTATAATCGGAATAGTTTTGGAATTAGGGCTCAAATTCGGAATTAAGTGATTTTTGAATTACAAAGTCCGATTTTGGAGGTGTTAAGCTGAGAAATTATGGGAGATTGATAGTTTAAGATGTTGTGGAGCTATAAAATTTTACAGAACTTTAATTGAGCTCCGATTTGCCCGAAACGAACTTTCGAAATTTGGCACACATGATGAACGGTAATGACCAATAGCTTTTCATGCCAATTTTTGTCGGTTTTCGGCTCTATTTTGGGTCAGCAAGCTATGGATGTTTGGGGCTTTCTTTTAATTGCAAGTTCTCTTTAAACAGAGTTCAATTGAGAGAGTTGTGGTGCAACCAAGTTTGGCGCACAAGCTCTGCTTTCGAACGGCTTTGAATAATTGCTTTGGATGAGCGATTTGTGAGTGTGTAGGAGTTGTTTTGTTAGCATTTAAGTGTAGTTTAATCGAGTCGTTAGTTAAAGCAGTATTTTACTTTATTTTGAAGTCAATTCTCGTTTGGTTGATAAAATTATGAGATCGTTGATTCGAGTGAGCTTGTTTGGTTTTTGGGCATTCCCAAGTAAGTGGTGCTATTTCTTCTATGAATTTGTAAACTCATGTCTTGAAAGTAACAAAGATTTGAGTATTATAGGAGTTTTCAAAGAGCATGTTTTTTTGCATAAAATTTGGATCGAGCATTTACTACTTTTCGATTATTTGTGAATGGTTGGAGAAACGTTTTATGAAAGGTGTTTCAAAATGTTACAGGTATATGAAATGGGTTCCAAAATGGTATGAAAAATGTCTTGTGAAATATGTTGCAGAATCAAGCGATCGAATAATAAAATAGAGGAATAAGAAAATAAATCGGAAACTAGATTTACGTAGTTCGATCATAGTAATCTACCTACATCCACAGTGGGAGTAGCGTGAAATTTCACTATAGATCAA